TAAAATAAACCCACAAAGTGTTTGGTTATGTCTAGGAAGTATCCGCAACTGTGCCCCCATATGCTTTATTATATATATAAATATATATGCAGCACACACAAACATCTGTATACATGTGCCTACAGATATGCCTTTACATGCACACCCACATACTCACACGTGCCTTCCTATACACAGATATGCATACATATCTACCTGTGTCACACACGTATTTTTTGGTTGTTATTACTGTTGTTGCAAAATTGTATATGTTATAGCATTTGCCAAAATTGTCCCTTATTCTTGTGTACTTCTTTGTATCATCATTTACCTTGGTCGGCTGTGCAGACTTCATCCATATTGGGTATTGCCTTTCCCATCACCAAAAACGACAAGTGGCTACTATCTAGAGAGTGATTCCCTCTCTCTCCCCCTTCCCATCCCTGGTAACCATCAAAGAATGTTGTTTTTTGTGTGTATGCCTATTTTTGTCTTTTTAGAAAAGTGAGACCATGTAATATTTGTCCTTTTGTGATTGACTTATTTCTCTCAGCATAATGTCCTCCAGATTCATCCATGTTATGTTTTGATAACTCATCATTATTTTTTATGGTATTCCGTTGATGTATGTACCACAATTTGTTCATCCATTCATCTGTTGATGGGCACTTAGGGTTGTTTCCATTTTTTTGCTATTGTGAATAATGCTGCACTGAACACAGGTGTTCATGTATCTATTCGTGTCACTGCTGTTAGATATCTAGGGTGTAGCCTAGGAGTGGGATTGCTGGATCATAAGGTAGTTCTAGTTCTAGCTTCTTGAAGAAGTGCCATACCATTTCCCAGCAGTGTATAAGAGTTCCAATCTCCCCACAACCTTGCTAGCATTTGTTGTTTTCTGTTGTTGTTTTTTTTTTAATCAGTGCCATTTTTGCAGGGGCGAGATGGTATCTCATTGTATTTTGATTTGCATCTCTCTAATAGCTAATGACCTCAAGCATCATTGTTTGTTAACCACCTGAATGACCTCTTTGGTGAAGTGTCTGTTCATGTCCTTTGCCCATTTTTAAATTGGATTATTTGCATTTTTGTAGTTGAGTTGTTGAAGTTTTCTATAGATTTTGGAGATTATAGGTCAGATATGTTGTTCACAAAGATTTTTCTCCTAGTCTGTAGGTTCTCTTTTTACTCTTTTGATAAAGTCTTTTGGTGAGCATAAGTAATTTTTATGTGGTTCCAGTTATGTAATTTGTCTTCTGTTGTTCGTGCGTTTGTAGTTGTGTTCGATAGTCTATTTCTGCCAAAAATTATGTCCTATAGTTTTGTCCCTATGTTATCATCCAGGAACTTTATAGTTCTAGCTTTAACATTTAGATCTTTGATCCATTTTGAGTTGGTTTTTGTGCATGGTGTGCATATGGATCCTGTTTCATTTTTCTGCAAATGGATATACAGTTTTGCCAGTACCATTTGTTAAAGAGACTGTTTCTTCCTCATTGAATGGACTTTGACCTCTTGTTGAAAATCAGCTGCCCATGGATGGATTTATTTCTGGGTTCTCAATTCTATTCCATTGGTATATGTGTCTGTCATTGTACCAGTACCAGTCTGTTTTGATTACTGTGGCTATATAGTACGTTTTGATACTGGGAAGTGTGAGGCCTCCTACTTTGTTCTTCTTCAGTATTGTTTTGGCTATGTGGGGTCTCTTTCCCTTCCATATAAAGTTAGAGATTAGTTTTTCCATTTCAGTAAAGAATTGTTGGGATTTGGATTGGGATTGTATTACATCTATAGATTGCTTTGGGTAGTATTGACATTTTCACAGTGTTAAGTGTTCCAATCCATGAGCATGGAAGATATACAATTTTAAAGTGTGATCCTCATGTGGATGTGGGCTGGTGGCTTCAGGCCTGCCTTCTCGGGAGAGGCTAGGAGTACCATGGTGACTGTCATGTTTCCTAGTGCTGCTGTAACACAAAATACCACAACCAGTAAAGAATAGAAATTTATTTTTTCACAGTTCAGGAGGCTAAAAGTCTGAATTCAGGGTGTGGCCCTGGGGGAAGTCCTTCCTTCTTGGTGGCCCTGGGAGTTCCCGGGAGTCCCTTGGAGTTCCTTTGCATTCTTTTGCTTGTAGACAATTCTCACATGGTGTCTGCCTTCCCCCATCTGTGTGTCTCTGTATCTAGTCTAGTCTTTTTATAACTCAGAGGTGATTAGGTTTAGGATCCACCCTACACTGGTATGACCTCATTAAAATATCAAAAGAAAGCCCCTATTTCCAAATAGGATTACATCCACAGGTACAGGGGCCAGGAATTCAGCATGTATTTTGGGGCAACACAGTTCAATCCGTAGCTGTGACCTGTGGCTGTATAAGAAGGGATCCTTGCCTCCCTTTGCTGCCTCACCTCGTGTAACTCTCCCCTTTGCTCACTTGATATACTCTAGTCACACTGTTCTCTTTTTGTTCCCTACAACATGCCAAGTCTGTCCTGTGTTAGGGCTTTTGCCTGAGCTGCTGCTCCTCCAGCTGCTTACAAGAGAGGTTTCTTCTCAGCCATTCATTATTTAACAAATATTCATTCTTGTTGTTGTTAGGTGCCGTGGAGTTGGTTCCGACTCATAGCGACCCTGTGTACAACAGAATGAAACACTGCTTGGTCCTGCCCATCCTTACAATTGTTATGCTTGAGCCCATTGTTGCAGCCACCGTGTCAATCTATCTCCTTGAGAGTCTCTCTTTTTCGCTGACCCTCTACTTTATCAAGAATGGTGTCTTTCTCCAGGGACTGATCCCTCCTGATAACATGTTCAAAGTATGTGAGACATAGTTTTGCCATCCTTGCTTCTAAGGAGCATTCTGGCTGTATTTCTTCCAAGACAAATTTATCTGTTCATTCTTTTGGCAGTCATGTTATAGTCAATATTCTTCACTAACACCACAATTCAAAGGCGTCAGTTCTTCTTTGGTCTTCCTTATTCTTTGTCCAGCTTTCATATGCATATGAGACGGTTGAAAACACCATGGCTTGAATCAGGTGCACCTTAGTCTTCGAGGTGACATCTTTGCTTTTTAACACTTTAAAGATGTCTTTTGCAGTAGATTTTCCCAATGTTCATTGAGCCCTTATCAATTATCAGACACTGTGCTAGGCACTGGTGGTGCAGTGGTTAAGAGCTCAGCTGCTAACCAAAAGTCGGCATTTCGAATCCACCAGCCCTCTCCTTGGAAACCTTATGGGGCTGTTCTACTTTGTCCTATAGGGACACTATGAGTTGCAATTGACTCGACGGCAATGGTTTTTTGTCTGTTTGTTTGTTTTTTTGGTGCTAGGCACTGGGAATTCAATGGTGAGCCAAGGGAACTCATTATCATCGGACGGGGTGCAGAGGGGATGGGGGGGCTGAATGCGACGCAATTCAAATCATCCCACTCATCAGTATTGAGCTTGTAATAGGGGATCTGACTACGTCTCGGAGGTCTTGGATTCTTTCCTGAGGAAGTGAAGATAAGGCTGAAATCTGAAGGAGGAGGAGGAGCTAACTGGACCCAGAGAGGAGGAAGTAGCTAGTGCACAGGCCCTGTGGAGAGAGTGAAAGACAGATAAAAGGCTGAAGGAAGGGCAGGTAGCTGGAGGGGAGCAGCAAGAATGGTTTAATCTTGTGGTCAGATTGTGTCTAACTGCTTTTACCTTCTCAGTATCTCAAATATACCCACTGTACAACTCCAGTACAACCCCACCGACCCCCATGGACTAAGTTTGAGATATGCTTTCAGACTTCATCAGCCATTTTTAGCAGCATTTGACTACCTTGTTCCCTTGGTTACCGTGATGTAGCATTCTTCTGGTCTTCTTTCTACTTCTCTGAAAGATCCTTTTCTGTCTGTTTTGTAAGATTGTCTTCCTCTATCTGAAACCAACTACTAAATTTCAGACTTCCCCAAGGTCCAGCCCTAGGCGACTCACTCTCCCCCCAGGCAATCAGGCAATTCTATCTACAGTGTGACCTCAACCATGGCTTAAACAACCATGACTCATAAATATTATCGCCAAGACCTCTTGTCTGAACCCTTGCTATTTATTAAACATTTCCACTTAGAGGTCACAGAGGCTCCTCCAACTCAATATGTGTCCAAAACCAAACTTGCAATCTTTCCCTCTAAAGCCTGTCCCCTGTCTCTGTGAATGGCCCACCATCCAGCTATATAAGTCAGAGATCTGGAAGCATCCACAGTGGCTTCATCACCCCATATCCAATCAATCACCAAGTTCTGGATATTTTACCTTATAAATATCCCTCAACTTCACCTACTCTTCTCTATCGTCTACTACTAGCTTGGTGCAAGTCTCTGTCATTTATTGCTTTGACCACTACAGCAACTTCATAACTGGTACCCCACACCCACTCCTGCTCCCTTCCAATTTATTCTCCTCTTTGCTGCCACAGTGAGCTTTTAGAAGCATAAATCTAATATATCACATTACACGTACCCCCAATCTTAAAATCCTCCCATGACTTCTCACTCCTTTTTGGAGAGAAAAAAAAAATCTTTAATAAGGCCCACAAGGGCCTGCCTGGTCTTAAAACTCCTTTCACACTACCCTCCTCTCACTGCCTCCACTGATGTCTTAGGTGGAATTTGGAGGCACATCGGCCTCCTTGCTTGGACCTGGGAAACCTAATAACACGTTTCCAATCATCTCTTAGAGTGACAGCTACTCTTGTCCATTTTATGTTGATCCTCATTAGCTTCAATTAATGAGAGGATTTTGTGTACTAATCTTTGGAATTCACTCTCCTTGGAGCTCGAGACCACTCTCCATATTTATCACAAGCTACGTTCTTCTAGTTAAAGGGATATAGTTCGTGCAAAGAATGAACTATTTTTAAAATGCAGATTTACCTGGCTCCCTCGTGTTTATATGACTGTGACCCAGAATATTCCCAGGGGAAAATCACTCTTTAGGAATCTTTTCTATGCCGCTACAGATTTCTTTATTTTTCCCTTGTAGCCATGGAAATAAAGAAGCCTTCTCTTGCCGGGGAATCCAGCTGGCTGTGGACTGGTTCAGGGACAGAGGACACACCGCCATCAAGGTTTTTGTCCCATCCTGGAGGAAAGAACCATCGAGATCTGATACCCCTATTAGAGGTATGCTGGAGTAGAGATACGCTCAAGCGGTTATCCACCTTTCCTTAGTAGTACTCCTCACAATTGCAGCCAGTTATCTATTTGCTTACTTATTTAATGGTGTCTGCTTTCCTTGTTGGACTCTAAGCTCCATGAAGGCACTGACTATGGGTGTTCACTGCTATAGCCCTAGCACCCAGCATAGTACCTGGCATAGTGTAGGTGTTCGATAAATAGTTGTTAAATAGATGAATGAGTAAATTACTCCATCTTCTAGCATCAACAATTAAATTTAAAAATTATCATGTCTTATGACTTTTAACACTCCACAGAAAGATTGGATCTGCATCCCACCCCTAATAGGTTCATCCCTAATTCATTCAGTCAGGTAATATTTATTTAATGAATACCTAGTCCAATATCCTCACTTAAAAAAAAAAGAGAAAGAAGAAAGAAACTAAGACCCAGTGAATTCTTTCTTTTTAATTCTTGTATCAGTTAGAATAGTTTAAGCTACAGATAATAGAAAACTCTGGTTTAAAGAGTATTTTCTTTGTTTTTTGCTTTCTGTATAAGAAGTCAGATGCTAAGCCATTGTTGGTATTGTTTTAGCACATCAAAGATGGGAGGGTTGGCCTCTTTGTGATTCTGCGAGATTTTCTTGACTTTTTCTTCCAGGCTTTTACCAAAGATTTGTTTGTTTTCTTTTGTTTTGTTTTTATTTTGATGATGGTTACCAATTGCTTCTTCTCTCTCTGTCTCTGTTTCTTTCTTTTTAAAATAAAATGATATTCTTGTTTTATGGCTGCAGTATCTTCTTGACTATTTCTCTACTAATATAGATTTGAGAGGGTAGTGGTGGTTCAGTGATAGAATTCTCGCCTTCCATTCGGGAGGCCTGGGTTTGATTCCTGACCAATGCATCTCAAGTGCAGCCACTACTCATCTGTCAGTGGAGGCTTGTGTGTTGCTGTGATGCTGAACATCTTTCAGTGGAGCTTCCAGACTAAGACAGACTAGGAGGAAAGGCCTGGCAATCTGCTTCTGAAAATCAGCCAATGAAACCCCTATGGACCACAACAGTCTGATCCCGTTGTGCATAGGGTCCCCCTTGAGTTGGAGGCCAACCCCATGGCAGCTAACAACAATTTAAACTTAAAAAAGAAAGTTCTCTTAAGTTCCATGAATCACATATATTTTTTCTGAGGTCAGTTCACTTTGTTCATCTTAGTTCCTCCTTTTTTGGTGTGTGTGCCTGCTGTTGGGTCTTCCTCTCGAAAGTCTGATGATCCTTGGTTGTCAGTTTTTATTTGTGAATAAAGAACCAGATTGGTTAAATACATACATGACTGCATGTGTTTTCTCTCCTAGTATGTGGATCTTTCCCTGAATGGCAGGGCTGACCATTTGTGGTGACTAGCAGATTTCACTTTAGCTGAGTACCTCTGCCTGCCATATAGTCGAAGGCCAGCATGATGATAGTTTTACTCTAGGCAGTCAGTAGCCATACTAGGAGGCTTCCCTCTTCCTAGTTAATATCTTCATATTCTTTATGGTGCTTTTAATCCAAGGGCAGGAAAAGAGTGGTGGTCCAGACCCCTGGACGCAGCTGCTCTGTAGACGGTCCTTCCATTAGTCATCCTGATTCTGCCTGACTTCCCACTCCCTCTCCACAGGCTTCTGGGACTTTTCAGGGAAAATGGCCTCTTCTACCTCCTGTCAGCCTTTTACACACATTCTGGGCTATGGCTCCCTCTGCCCTGAGTTATCTAGTAATATGATCCCACCTGCTTTCTGTCTTCTTAAAATTTGTCAAAATCCTGGGTTGGCTGCTATCCCCAAGCCTATTTTTAATGTGATTATGGGTTTCTGCTCCCCTCTTTAAACTTCTTTGCTGTCATTTTAGTGGGATTTCAAGAAGGAGGGGGGATAAATATTTGTGTTCGGTTCTCCACTGTGAACTGGTTGCCCCAAATAATTTTTTATGGTCTTAACATGGAGAATGGTGGCTTTCAACAGTTGAGCAATATTTAAATAAATATACTTTGGGTAAAGAGGAGGGAAATCATTTAGGGGTAGGAAAGGAATTTTTAAACAAGCCACAAAACCTATGGGGAAAAGATGACTGAATCTGACTACATTACAATCAAAGCATCTGTTCATTAGCGGATACCATAAAAATAAAAATATGTAAAGACAAGCCTCAAACTGGGAGAGGTCATGTATTACTGACAAAGGATTATTGTCCAGAATCTATAGAGAACTCTTCCAAATTAATAAGACAAAGACAAAGGACCAATAGAAAGATAGGCTAAAGCATGAATAGGCCTTTCACAGAAGAGAAGACATCAGTGGCCAATAAGCATGTGAAAAGATGCTCAGTCCCATCAGTAACCAGAGAAATGCAAAATAAAACCACAGTAAGAGGCCATTTTACACACACCAGGTTGGCAGAAATTCAAAACTCTGAAAATGCCAAGCGTTGGCAAAATCCAAAAAACCAAACCCATTGCCATCGAGTTGATTCTGACTCAGTTGTCCTATATGCTGTGCTGGGTATGTAAGTGGGTACAACCTCTTTGGAAAACAATTTGGCATTATCTTGTAAAGTGCCCTTCCCTATAACTCAGCAATATCCACTCCTAGAGATGGATATACCCCAGAGAAACTCTTACACTTCTACACCAGTAGACTTGCATGCCAAACGAATACCAATGAACCTAACGCAATGTTAAATGAAAAAAGCAAGTTGCAACTGTGTACAGTATGATTCCATTTATGTAAAGTCTAGAGGTTCATATTCACATTGGAAGTGGTTCTTCTGCGGGGGTACATACATATGTGGGTTTTTTGTTTTTGCCTTTTTAAGGGTTTTTTTAATTGTGGTAAAAAAATATGTAACACATTTGCCAATTCAACTCATATATATGTGTTTTTAAAAATAAAAACAAGGGAATTATAAACACAGAATTCTAAAAACTGGTTATCTTTAAGGGAATGGAGAGCAACATAAACTGGGAGGGGCAATGGGGACTTCACAAGCATGGACCATGCTCTCTTTCTCAAAAGGAGTGGTACAAATGTGGCATTCTTTTTATTACTCTTTGTAGCATCTATGTATTAAGGAATTTTTAAAGTCTGGGAACCATGTCATATAGGAAAAGACTTAGACTTGCCGAAAGAAACAATTTATAAAGAATTTTGCTGATACTGTTTCCAAGTTCTGAGTAAGTATGATGTGTAGAGTGATTTTCTATGCATATTTTCCAAGGCAAAACTCACATCAGAGCAGACCTTCCAGGGATGTGATTTCGGCTCCTGATAAGAAAGACCTAGTGAAATTTGTACCACCTCATATGTGTTCACTGTCTTACTAATTTTCATAAGAGCTCTCACACATGTGAGCTTATTCAATGTGTAGTAAGTAAAGGAGGTATTAGTATCCTCATTTTATAAATGTAAAACCTGAGGTTAAAAGAGGGGTAAGATACTCATGACCTGGGGCTGAGACCAGAGTGTAGGCTGTTATATTATTTTCTTTCTCCAAATTTATTTTATTTTATTTTGTTATTGTTAAGAACATACACAGCAGAACTTACACCAATTCAACGATTTCCCCATGTACAATTCACTGACATTGATTACATTCTTCAAGTTGTGCAACCATTCTCAGCCTCCTTTTCTGGGTTGTTCCTCCGCCATTAACATAAACTCACCACCCCCTATGTTTCCTATCTAATCTTTCAATTTACTGTTGTCAGTATGATCCCATGTAGATAGAACTTAAAAGAGCACAATGCTCAAGGCAGACATTCTTTACTAATTAAGCTAAACTACTGTTTGGTTTAAAGAAGACTTCAGTGAATATTTTTGTTTTAAGGTTTAAGTTTTAAAGATTATCTCAGGGCAATAGTCTCAGGGGTTCATCCAGCCTCCATGGCTCCAGAAAGTCTGAAGTCCATGAGAATTTGAAATTCT